AGGTGAGTGGTCGCCGACCGCCCTGAGGGTCAGGCCCGGCGCGTGGAAAGGCCCTTTCCCAGCAGCACCCAACTTTGCTCGCAGAGCGGAACGGCGACTTCTCCACACGCCCGCGGCTCTGCCCCTGCCCGCGCCTGTGGGAGAATTCCTGCTCCCCAAACTCAGGATGTGCTGTGGGGCTGGGGACCGAGGAAGGAGGCGTTACGGGAGAGGACCCTCCGCAGGAAGAGAGCGCCCGCGGGATGCTCTACTCTGTCCCGGCCGCTCGCCCTCACGCTCCCCGAGCCTCGCGGGTGCCCAGAGGACCTGTTGGGCAGGCTCCGGAGTCCGCGTTCCGCGCCTTTCGCCCGCGGGGAGCGGTGGCGGAGCGCGGGTCCTGTCGCCCTGGGCGGTGGGCTCGCGTCCGGCAGCTCCCAAGTTCGGGGCTCGGCGCGCCGCGCGCCGAGGTGCTGGCTCCACAGAGACGCGGGTCTCCGGCCACGCGAGGGGCTTCTAGCGCTGGGACCTGCCTTTCGAGGCGAGGGGAGCGTCACCCACCCGCAGGTCTCCAGCACATCGGAGCGTATGTCCCTGTTTCCCACGGTCGGGGAGGGACCTCTGCCTCCGCACCCGCGCGGGGTCGCTGGCCGCGGTTTGGCTGCCCGGCTCCCAGCTTCTGGGGTCGCCCGCTCGAGGAGCCCGCGACACATTGACGAAGGGCAGCCTCGTGTCTTGGGGTCCCTCTGCGACCAGAGTTAGGGAATCCCGATGGAATCGGGACAAGAATGAGAGTAAATGGACGGTGGAAAGAAGCCGAGGGGGGCGGATGTGGAGCACGAGGCTGGACACTGGCTCTGGAGCCTGTCTTGGGAGCAAGCAACATTGCCCCCAAGAAGGAAAGAGATGCGAGGTCAGCCTTTTTTTCAGCCCTTAGAACAGTCATCACCACCTTTCTCCCACACTGCAGGAAATTCTGTGATGGCTTTGAAAATAAAGAAAGCCCGTTTGGGGGAAAAAAAGGGGGAAAAGAAGGAAAAAGAAGAGGTTCATGACCCTATGCGCTCGCCCTTTAGGGGCCGAAGCGTCCTTAATGCCAGCAGCTCGGCGGGTGCTTGGGCCTGGAGCCACCCAATAGGTTTGCTGCCAGAATTACAATGGTCTGAACAACACAAACCATCCTCGTTCGTTCCATCAGCCAAGATCCTGTCCATAAAGCTGCCGCTTCCAGTATATTTTTTTCCCCGTTATCTAAATAGGAAAGGAGAATTCAATTAAGGGTAGGGGGTTGTTGGTCAACTTCAAAACTGGAGGTCAGGTTGGACCTAAGCTGAAGCAGGTGGGAGCAACACTGGAGTTTTCCAACCTGCTTTGCATAGTAGAATTATTTGCAGAATCTTAAATACTGGCCCTGGCTGATCCCAGACCAATCAGATTGGAATCCCTGGGGCCTGGGTATCCGTATCTTTGAAAACTTCCCAGGTAAATCTATAACTCAGTGAGGATGGAGAAAAACTGCAGCCAGTAGGAAACATTCATCAGATTTCTGAAACTACAGATTGGACCCACTGTCACTGCCTTGCTTTACTCGTGAGATTTACTCAACAAATATTCCAGTGCTTTCCTTTGCTAAACGCTGTGCTAAGATGAACCAACACAGCCTTGATTTCTGCTTTGGGAAATTTACAGTGGAGGAAAAGGCAGATAGTAACTTGATAGTTATGTGATAAAGTGTGGAATTGCAACTATCTTAGTGATACGAAAGAGGGCCAGAGTGCAGGGAGAGCCTGAAAAACATCTGGCCCAGTGGGTAATAATCCAGCGAGTGGAGTTTCTTTACTGTGTCCCTGTTTCTGTTCTTTGTGCTTTACGTGTGTTGACTCATTTCTTCTTCACGACAGTCTCATGAGGTAGGTAGTGTTCTTCCCATTCTCCAGAAAGGAAGGAAGCAAAAGATGTAACTTCCTTGTGACATCAAGTAACCAGTAGCAGAGTTGATGCTGGGAGAGCCCAGTTCCTGCTCCCCCACCCCGCCCCTCAAAGCCTACCACTTTCAGAGGAAAGGTAAAACTTAAGTCCCCCCTGCCCACCATCTCCCCCACCGCCCCTCTTCCCCCTGATGTGAAGCCATCCTAGGGAGACTTGGATTAGGGTGACAGTCACCTGGGAAGAGAAGAGTGAACAGACTTAAGAAATACTTAGGAAGAAAAATCAAAATAACTTGGATTGCCTATGAAGGATGGTGGTGTCAAGGATGACCTCAGCTTTATATTTTACAATCAGGTGGATGATACTTGCCTTTTAAATCTGCATTTTCCCAGTACTTTAAGTTCTTCATTTTCAGACTTTTGTGGTCATTTACGCAGCAGACATATTAAGTTCTTTAAGAATAAAACTTTTCACAAAATGTTTATAGTTTATCTTAAAGGGAAAATCTTTCCACTTGGCACGTTTTTCTGGCTCAATGAACTGCCTCAGATTCTAAGAGAGTCCTGTGGTTTCCTCCATGCAAGTTTCTATCATCAACATGGTTTACTTTAGAATTGTCTAGAGTAGGGATGGCTTATCTTTCTGCCTCTTGAACTAGAGAAAAGCAAAAATGAGTGAGGTTAAGTGGGCAGCTGCTGGTGAAATGTCCCCCGGAACTTTACAGGGGGCCACCCACATGCTGTGGACCTGATTTCCACACATAATTCGATAAATGCAGTAGCAGATCCTAGAAACTTTTCCATAAATGACACGCTGCAAATAATGTGCTTTGACCGATTACTTTCAGCAAAACAGGAAGACATTCTGGGAAGGTTACTAAGTCCAAACTCATTCTGCTAGCTGCACGACCAGCCAATAAATCAGGAGATGAGGTGTTGAGGCAAGGAATAATGACTTTATTTGGAAAGCCAGCAGACCGAGAAGATAGTGGACTTAAGTCTTTGAGAACCATCTTCCCCAAGTCAGAATTCAGGCTCCTTTTATACTAAAAAGGGGAAGGGATGTGCTTGGTTGTTGCAGACTTCTTGATGTGGAAATTCTCTGTACTTGCAGCTGTCCGCCTAGGCAGGTCATGATGTTCCTGTAAATCTCCAACAAGACAGATGTTATTCTCTGTTCTGCAACTTTTCAACTCTATATGCATGGAAAAGTGTTACACCCTTAAAGTCAGAGCCTTGAGAGTGGGCTATCCTGTATATTTCAGGCAGTATTATTTTACAAAAGGTACAGAACCATCATGACTAAGACCAGGAAACAAAGCACAGGGTTAGAGCTAAAGGAACAGATCTAACATGGAGTCAGATTTGTTCTTCCCTATGACAGGAAGTCGGTAGAACAGGAACACAGAAGTGGGATTAGGAGCAGAGCGATTCGACGGTGAGGGGCTGGAGCACGGTGTGCAGTGCAAAGCCCGCAGGAGGCCAGTGGTACCAGCTGTCTTCCTGCTACTAGAGAATTTTGCTTTCATAAAATTATAAATTAGAGAGAGAAACTGGTTAAGAATGTAGCATTTTCCTGAAATATATGGCAGTCCTTTAAAATAAAAAGTTCCTGACCTTTTTAAACTATCTTGCAGTATTTCACTGTTCTGGGAAATAACTTGTCTTTCCCAATGTCTTTAATATTAAAAAGAAAAAAGTTCTCTTCACTTAACACTTGTATATATTCAGATTAATAATTGTATTAGTGTCCTATGATTGCTATAACAAATTACTATAAATTTGTTAGCTGAAAACAACAGAATGGTATTCTCTCATAGGTCTGGAGGCTAGAAGTTCAAGATCACTTTCACGGCTTCCACCCTTCTGGATGCTCCAAGAAGCACCCTCTTCCATTTCCTTGTCTCTTCCAGCTGCTGTGGCTGCTGGCATTCTTTGGCTGCATCTCCTCGATCTGCCCTTGTGGTCACCTTGCCTTCTTTTCTGCCAAATCTCCCTCTATCTCTCTTTTAAGAATGCCTGTGAGTTCATTTAGAGCTCACCGGGATAATCCAAGATCATCTCCTCATCCCAAAATCCTTAACTTCACCACATCTACAAAGACCCCTTCTTCATATAAGGTGGCATTTACAGGTTCCAGGAATCAGGACATGATATCTTTGGGGGCCATTATTCAGCCAATTACAGTAACTATTTTTTATATTCAGACATTCAACTCAGGAGGATTCCCAGAAGTCCCTGAATGACATAAAGTAATAAATGTCAGATTAATCCTACCTGTTTGCAGATGCCATTAAAGTGAAAATGTCTTATTTACCTTACTTTATACTTTGCTCACAGGTCATTTATTGGCACTCATCTTGTTCCAGGAAGAACTCAGGGCAGTTTATACAGGTGTATGAAACACAGCAAGAAAATGCAAATTAGAAATACATGAAAGAAAACAAACAAGGATAAGAACAGAAAACGAAGCAAGGAATAAAGCTCTAGAAAAATGAGTACAATTATATCCTTTTTATTAACATTCCGTGAAAACAAATTTCTTGCTGTGAAAACAAAGCCTTTTTTTTTTTTTACAAAACAGTGAAATAATCCTTTCTCCCCCAAATAGCAACAGGTTCAAGTCTTTTGTATTATAAGGATCAGATTATCCAAGGGAAAAAATCAGTTTTCCAAATTTCAGACAATATAATTAAAAACCTCAAACTATCGAAGCTAGGTGTTATACATTTTGGTTTACAATTTTTTAAAATATTATGAAGAGCATTCTTACTGTCTTCAAAGCTACCTTCTCTTATATTTTCCCTCCTAGTAAAAGTTTTACAGTAGGTAGTGATGTATACATAAGATAAGGTCAGTCATTTGCAACAAATCTTATACCATTGTTGCAATTAAAATTCTTGTAAAATCAAATTATACAAATCGTAGATATTACAGTATATTGGAACCTATTTTGAATTGCCTCCCCTAATATACACCTTGTTTTCTTAATACTCTTGGTAGGCAGCATCTGAGAAGCAGCTTCAAAAAACTTACAGGCAAGAGTCCATTTTTCTGGTCAATTGTAAGATTTGGTACTTAGGGAGCCATAGTAAATAATAAATAAGTACTTTAGCAAATACTGATTTGTTAAATAAATATTTCAACAAATATCTATCGACTACTATAGTGATAGCAAATATTCAGCAAGCACTTACTATTGAGAGACAGGGGATAGCGGTTAAGATTCCAGATCCAAGTCAAACTGCCTGGATTTTAATTCTGCCTTTGTCACTTACCACTAACATGACCCTGAACAACTTTCTTGATCTCTCTGGGCCTTGGTTTCCCCAGACATAAAGTGAGGCTAATAATAGCATCTATATCATAGGACTGTAATGAGGGTTTACCGAGTTAATATATGCAAAGTGCTTAAAACAGTGCCTGACACTTGGAAAGCGCTCTGTAAACATTTGCTGTTGCCCTTAGTAGCATATGCCAGGAACTTTGCCTGCGTCATCTTATTGATTCCTTTAATGACCCCACGGGATAGATACTAGTATACAGACAGGGAAAACTGAAGGTCAGAAATTTGTGAGAAGGCAGACTTCGACTCCAAGTCCATCTGAGTGCAGAGCATGAGCTCCAGCGCTGTAGCGCACTGCTTCTCTGTATGCGCTGGGCTGCACGCGCTGATGGGAACAAAGACGGGTTTGACATGGGTCATCTTTCCAGGGAGGATGTCAAAGAAGAGGCATCCCTCTGTGATGACACATGGAAGTGATGAGATGATGTATTTCCATCTCAATGGGATTTTTGAGTATTAAAATACTAATTAGAACTAATTCACATTGAGGGTGATTAAAAAAAACAGTAATATTTTAGTGGGGTTTTTGAGTGCCAGATACCATCCTATTATGCACTTTTTAAAAAAACCGTATTTTTTAATAAATGTAACAAAGTTACCAGGAAGGTACTGTTATTTTCATTTCACAGATGAAGAAACTGAATGACAGAGTAGTTACACAACTTTCTCCAATTCATAGAGCTTGGATGGGTTGGAATCCAGATTTGGAATCAGGGAATTTGACTCCATACCTTGGAATCTTATTAATATTCTATACCATCTCCTTAAGTTGGTGTGTATAAGCATTCAGTGTGCCAAGTTAAAAATGATAGATTTTGTATTACATTCTATACAGTCAAGGGGGCTTTAAGGGGCAGAATTTAATCACACTGTCTGTTCCATATGTGGGCCGCATCTCAGTCTGGGACTATGACCAGAATAGCGGAGATCTGCAAGAATAAGCCCCATATTATGGCCCTTTGGAGGAGGGCAGCAACATCTTGCTGTTTGAGTTCTGTTTTCAAGATGGGAAATCCTATAAAATCACACAACATGTAATTCTTAGAACCTATGTAGAATTTTACTAGTAGCTGCAAGGAGAAGCCAGTTGAAAGGTGGAGTGTTTGAAATACGTTATTCCTCTTGCTGTTCATCCATATCTTGTCATCTTAGGACTTTAAAATAAATGAAAGGCATAGGATCTGCATGTTTGTTTCCAGAAGGTAGGATCTATACTGTCTAGATGCTGGCAAAAAGGACCAATATCAATGAATACCCCAAAAAGAAAGATGTTTATAGTCTCATGAGTATTGTAATTACTTGTTTACACAGATATGTTTTAATTTAACCATTTCCCAAGCGTGTTAGCATAATACCTACTTTAAGAATGTTCCAGGGTGAGGGGAGGGGTATAGCTCAGTGGTAGAGTGCCTGTTTAGCATGCATGAGGTCCTGGGTTCAATCCCCAGTACCTCCATTAAAAAGATGAATTAAATAAATAAATAAACCTACTTACCCCCCCCCAAAAGACCAAAACAAACAAAACAAAACAAAAAGTGATGTCAACCAACATGTACCAGGAAAAAAGAAGAAAAAAATTCCTACTGGAAAAAAAATGAATGATCAGAGGATTTGTCCTTAAACTAGTAGCTACTGTAGCCATCTCTATGTTAATTTTGTGGTCTAAAATGGCAATTGAAGAAAAGGGGCTAGCAGCCCCAGTCATCAGCCTGGTTTGCTCTATGTGTGTGTGGACGTTCATCCTCACTGAGGTTCTGGAACGTCCCCAGCAACACCTTGAAGCCACCTCTTAAACTTACTGAACTAGTATGCGGTTAAGAACACATAAAGGATGTCCCCACACTGTGGATTTTCAAGCCTGGCATTCTACTTGTCATTGAATATTGAAGAAATGAAGTATAATTTATTTAAAATATATGCATTAAATTAAGTATCAGTTTTAATGTACCAGGGAAGGCAGCAGAACATTGTAGTGAATTTGCATTGGCTAAAAGAGAGCTTTGGGTCCTCAAGGAAAGATGTGTTTTAAATAGTTTCTCACCGTATGCGTTGTTTATTAAGTGTTACGTTTTGATACAGAGGTAGTGAAATGCCCAGAATAAAACCACAGATTTCCAAGAATACCCCTTCATCATCAATATACTGCTGCTTTCTCAAAAGACAAAGAATCTGACACTTGGCTGTTTGTGCTATAGCCAAATAATGTACTGCACCCTAAAAATATGCATATATGTTACATCTCATCTCCAGACTTATCTGTGGTTATTTGCACCTTACACGAATTACATTTTCCCTGACTTGTATCTAAAAATGTAGAATCCTCCAACCCCTTGAAATTACAAAATGCAATTTTCTTATAATTAGACATTTCTTATGTCAATCAATAGCAAGAGCACCTTGTCAAGGATCCTGGAAGTAGAAATGATTCATTCAAAAGAAGAAAGATAACTAGGTATGGGGGATGTGGGAGGGCATCTCTTCAGGTCTCTCAGCTTCATAGTCTCTGGCTGTTGGATATTTGTTTGTTTTTCACTGATTTTTCCCAGGCACGTGAATGAGCTGAGAGTGTTAATAATGAGAGCTGAAAAGAAAACTGTCTACAAATATTTCCAACATTTTCGGTTTCAAAATAGATTCATTTTGACATTAAGACATCATGGAAAGATGATTTCTCTTACTTAAGAGTTAGGACAGGCCTGGAGGAAAGTGGACTCCTTGGTCCTCATTATTCCTCTTTAGATACTGCAGGGCGCTATCTGGAAGTTTCAAGATATTCATGCTTCCTGCAAAATTTATTTCAAATGATTGGAAGTTTCTTATAATGAATTCATCTCTTTCTTCTATTTTCCCCAATCCATGAAGAGCGTTACTAACAAGGAAGATATCCGTATATTGTGGGCCTACTGTGTGCCAGGCATGGTCCCAGTCATTTATGAGATGTTCCATCAGGTTCCATCCTGTAGACCAATAATGCTCTCCCTAAAAGAAGGAAGCATATTCTGAGGATTAGGACTTGCGGTTTTTTTCACTGTGACAGTTGAGAGAATGTGTAGAGATGAAAACACATGCAAAAAATCTTTGAAAGATGATCTTTCCATTTTGAAAAAACTGCGTGTGAAGATGTGAGGAGAGTACCCACCAGCCAGAAGGCAGACGTTTCTTCACAGCGGAGCTCAACATGTGGGCTTTACAGATTCTCTGGCATGCGGGAGAGCTGAGCTGGAGACCCTGGCCCCTCCTTTCCAGACATGGTTTTGACATCCACAAGGGAGGAAGACCCTTCTACTTACAAATAAAAAATGTAATACATTTGAAAAGCAAATCTTACATTGGGGAAAAAAAGGTAGGAGGAAGGAGGTGGGTTGAATAACAGTAAACAGAGGGAAAGCACACATCTAAAAAGAGATTCAGATGTAAGTTTGAAAAGAATGAGAGTCACAATATTGCCCACCGCCCACCAACTTACATTCTTCTGATTATGTACGTTATAGGGTTGCTGACTTCCTTCAAAAAGAGAACTGGGCAAATAGTGGATCAGTGCTATTAGCTATAACATTTTGTAATCTACTATCCTAAGCCTTAAAATCAGACATAAATATAACTTGTTATGACCTTTGCTAAGGGAGGGAAAAAACCCATTTATATTTAGCGTCATCCTACATGTTGTGTACTTACAGTTAAATGGGCTTGTTTGCAATGACCTGGGAATTCACAACATCTAGAAGTACAAAAACTTTCTCCTGTGGAGACCTGACCTCAGGGGAAAAAAAGACTGGATGTCAACATTCTGTGTGGCCCCCCCTCCCCATGGTGCCCTATGCCTGACCCTGGAGGCTGCCCTCCCCAGATCTTTGTCTGGTCTTATCCCTTCCCCAAGGCTGAGGGAAAATACACATTTCGGATTAATGTAATGGGACCTGTTCTATGTGGTGAAGTTACAACGGTCCCATGTAATAGCTTTGAATTTGGGTTCTCTTTGATGAAAGAGAAAATGAGCTCTTCCTCTTTAAAAAAAAAAAAATCCAGTGGTCCATCCTCAGTCCTCATCTTGGTTGACCTACCAGCATCTCTTGGCACAGCTGCTCACTCCCTTCTCCTTGGAGCGCTTTGTTCTCTTGGTTTCCAGGAGGCCAAGCACGGTTCCCCATCCTTCTTCACAAGCCCCACCTCAGTCTGCTGTGCTTCCCGTCTGCACTCACTCTCTCACTGAGCTCCTCGTGTTTCGTGCTTTTAAATTCCATCCATACACCAACAACTCCCTCTTTATTTTCCCCACCTGGACCTGGCCCCTCAGTGTCAGCCTGCCCACTTCATATGTCTGCACGAATGTCTAAGAAGCATCTTGAACTTAACATGTCTAATGCTGAATTTCTGATCTTCCTCCACAGTAACCCTAATGTCCCAAGATCTCCCAAAGCTGCCTCCATCTCAGCTAATGGCAACTCCATTTCAAACACAGAAGCCCCAAACCTACCCACGAAAGGTTTTTGTTTTGGGGTTCTCCCCCCTCATCAGATCCCATTTCCGGTCCATCATGCCCACTCTGCTTTCAAAATATATCTAGAGTCGAACAACTTCCCACCCCCTCTGCTGATAGTGCCCTGGCCCAGGCCGCCATCAGCTCTCACCTGAGTGTCTGCAGGAGCTCCCTGGCTGGTCTCCCTGCTTTGGCCCTGGCCTGTCTTCAGTCTGTTCCCAACATAGTAATGAGAGTGAGCCTCTCAAAACATGTAGTGTCGCACTGCGCCTCCCTTCAGAACTCTGCAGTAGCTCCTCGTTTCACGCAGAATAAAGGGCAGGGTCCTTCCTATGGCCACAAGGGTGCTATGAGATCTGTTCCCCTTCCTCCCCGTTACCTCCCTGACCTCATCTCCTGATGCTCTTTCAATTTACTAGTCCCTCTACCTGAAAAACTCTCCCTCAGCTGCGTTCCTGGCTTGCATCCTTATCTTCGTTGCCGGTCAGTGTTACCCTTAGACCTGGCAACTGGACCCCTGTTATCAGGAGACAGTTTTAAGTGGGTCTCTCAAGTTTCTGCACAACTGGTCTTGTGAGCAAAGGCATTCACAGCTAATTTTCTCTGGATTGTCTTCTCAAGGAGGTTTTGCATCTCAGGGAGCCTTGGAAGACAGAGACTGTCTCCCTTAGAGGCAGGTAGATTTACTGTACAAGATAATAAAGATCAGGTGTCCCTCTGGTCCAGATGTCGTGAAGATTTGCTGGCAGCCCCTGTATCAAATCAGAGCCTCCGCATCTCAGTGTCACTCTCAGAAACACACCCCACTGTGTAAACAGGCAAGACCTGGCCTTTATCACATCACCCTTGCGGAATTAGGGCTCAGGGAACCAGTGCAGTGATGTTGCTATGGCTACTGCTATTGCTCAGTTTTTCCCTGGGTGGATGCTTTTTGTTATTTCTGTCATTTGTCTTTGATCAAACCCTGATGGAGAGAAAGTGCACCGTCCCAAGAGCCCGGAGACCTGCCTGGTCTCGGCTTTGCTATCACTCTTACTCACCTCCTGGATCTGTTTGCTCACCTCTTACCTGGAGGGGATTGGATCAGATGCTCTTTGAGGCCCTGACTAATTCGTTCTTGAGAGGCTCATTCAGATTTTTTCATCATATGTTCCTTTTTTAAAATAAAATTAAAAAAATGTTTATATGTATATATATACACACATACAAACATGTGTGTATGTATATCTATATATAAAGCTGCTGTTCCTATGTATATAAAGCAACCATAATGAAACTATGCTTTCTTCTGTTTATATATGGAAAGTTTGTAGCCAAGTTAGATATTTTCATTTCCTAGTGTAATTCCTGAAAGTTTATTCTGGATGCTGGCAACTTCTCATTTAGAGAATGACTGTGTACTCACATAAGCTGTTTCTCCAGGCTGAGGAGGTGAGTGTGGTCACGTGGGGAGAAGTCAGGAGAAAAGAAAATAGAAGAAAGGAAAACAAAGGTTCTGTCCTATAAAGGGACTCTAGCCTCGCAGTGGAGAGCATGGATGTTGTCACAGAAATTTGGATATGTGCCCCAGTTCAGTCGCTTTTTGGATCTGTGACCTTTCGCTTATCCAAGTCTCAGTTGCAAAATGGTGGAAGTGGTGGCCACCTCGTGGATCTGGTGACGACTGAGTGAGATGATTTGTGTGAGGTTCGTAGGATGGTGCTTGGATGCTGTCACGGTAATTAAAAGGAACAGTGAGAATGATTTATTAATTTCTCATGAAATATGCATTGAGTGCCTCCTGTGCTGGGCTTTGCACTAGGTGCTAGGGAAACAGAGGTGAATGAACCAAAGTCCTTTCATTGTGAGCTTATCACCCTATTTTTGTTGTAACACTAGATGTCAAGCTACTATCTCTAATGCATTCTTCTATTAGAAAATCCTTTGGATTTTATAAACCACCTACCACACAATTAAAAATAGCTTTCTGGAGCTAAGGAAAGATGAGTGGGTTGAAAATAGAAATAAATATATAAGTTGATGGAATTTGGACATCTGGCCTGCACGCAAAGATCTTTTCTGAAGTGTACATTTTACCTACTAAAGCACACTGTGGTTTTGCTAATAAGAGGCTATTTTAAATGATTGCTCTTTTGGTCCTTCCTTATTTACTTGGATCAAAACTTAGCGACACGCAGACAGACTAAGCACCACTTGTTGTTTGGACACATTTTGAGAAGGAACAGGTTAAATTTTTTGCTTACGTTTCCGCTGCTTCTCACATAGTAATTTAATAAATCACCGGGGGAAGGGCTGGCAGTGCTTATCTTTTCAGTTAGCAGATCTTATTTCTGGTCTCTTGTGGCTTGGATGTTGGTTATTACAGGGCAGCCTTGCTGAAGGAACGCAGAGCCAGCAGAGCAGGGTGTGTGTGCCGGACGCAGGCCTTTGAAGATCCTGGTGTCTGCTGCTTAGCAGCATGCTTGAGATTTCTGAGTGCTCTGAAAAGCTCCTGATGACAAGTGTAGATTTCTGCTCTTGCTATATCAGATGGTTCAAAATATAAATAAGGCACAAATGAAGACTATCTGTATATATATAAAACCCTATCACGATCTATTCCTTTCACTCTGCTTTATTTTTCTTCATAGCAGAGTAGCATTTTATACTTATGCATAACTGTTTGTTTTCATGTTCTCCCAACGAGCGTTTAAACTCCTTGAGGGCAGGGGCTTTGGCTGTTTTCTCCACTGCTCCGTCCTCAATGTCTAGAACAATGAATGACTGGTTCATGGAAAGCACCCTGTAAATATTTGTGGGGAAAAGGATGAGTGGATGAATAGTGCTGAGTGGATAACATCTTTTATAACCCTGGCAGGGTGTAACAGAGGATAGACTTTCAACTTTTATAAGAAATGAATGGCTTTTAGAAACTTTTATTATAACTTCTTATAAAAGCTCTCCAAGTGAAAGAAGTGCCAGAGTGACAGTAAGAATTCTCAGTCTTCTGTCATTGTCATGAAATGTCGTTTCCAGCATGGAAACTGACATATTAAGCTTAGGAGTTGGGGGATGTCGGCATAAAAATAGAAGCTGGGATAGAACTAAGTCGTTCTTCTTAAGAGAAGGCGAGTGAGGGAGCCAAGGAGAGGGTGAGGGAGAAACATGGGAACTGGGCAGGGAGGGACCCAGGAGACTGAGCCTTAATGGGAGTAAAAAGAGTACCGTGGTGGGTGGGAGGAAGAGATGCCTGGAGGCCCGAGGAGAGGAACAGGAAAGAGATACCCCTAATGCTGCTTTCCTGGGAAATGCTGTCAATCACCCCCTCATTTCCCCTATGAGATCTTTATTCATTGTAGAATTTCACATTTTTTTTTTGTGGGAATAGAGTTTCATTTGTGGGTCAGCTCAAAAGAAAAGAGGCCAAAGATCCATTACCGGAAGAAGAAGCAGCTCATGAGGCTACGGAAGCAGGCTGAAAAGAATATAGAGAAGAAAATCGACAAATTCACAGAGGTCCTCAAGACCCATGGACTCCTAGTCTGAGCCCAATAAAATTGACTGTTTATTCTTCACGCTTGGCCTGGCCTGCCCTTCCTCCATCGCCGCCATAGGATGTGGGGACCCCCAGGGCCTGCCATCCAGGTGCCACAGGCAGCCCAGGGCTTAGAAGGCTGGGGACACCAAGGGGACGGACTTTAGTGCTGTTTAGGAAAGGCCGTTTTAAACTTTACAGAGCTCTAAGGGCTATAGGCATAGTTTGTCTGTGACCAACTCATTTGTGACAGTTGGAACAACCAGTGCAGCATCAGGACTGGTAACGGGGAGCTGGAAGACTAACTGGAGGGGACCCCTACGTCTGCTTAAACCTCCCACAGGGCTGGTTACTATACTCTGCAGCTGTTAGGACGTGAGCGAATGCTTGGGCATCAGGAGTCCGGTGTCTACAGAGGTGTTTGTGGAAGGGAAGTGCAGCCAGGGGGTCACAGGCATCGCCCTTGTGTCTTCCCTGTGTTTTGTGATTCAACGCTAATAAATTATTTTTAAAGGAAAAAAAAGAAAAGAAAAGAGGCCACTGTATACCTGGCACATACTTTACAAAGAAATAGATTTTCAGTTACTCCCAATCTCCATTGAACAAATAGGTACCGACTTGAGGATGAGTTGTGCAAATGAACCATGTGCTTTGGGGGCCCAGGTTTTTCTGACTGTCCACATGGAGGGTCCCATGTGGTGGCTGAGGGTCCAGAGGGAGAGAGGGAATGAGCAGCCCACTTCCACGGGGAATGCTTTGTCCAGGCGGCTGACTTTCAGTGCAGTTGAAAACCTTGGATCAGGAACACCTGTTCAGGTTATTTGAACTGGGCAGAGGGAAGTCTCATTTATATAAATAAAAGCTATGATAATTGGGTAGCCCTTTCTTCTATAAAGCACATGTGGCCTGCTCTGCTTGCTAGTTTGTAGAGATTTGTGAGGAAAAAAAAGTCCCCGTTCTTGTAGTCTTAAAAACATTATTCTACACGTTGCAAGAAGTTATTGAACTAAACTTGAAAAACACTTATTTCCTTCCCTGAATGTGCCACCCCCTCCCCAAGTCTTCGCTGAAAGCTTGTGAAGGCTTGAAATATTGATGAATGTGAATCCACTCATCTCCAAATTTCACTGACCTTTTACTGGGGAGCATTTTTAGCTTTGTTGAGAATGTAGGGCAGAGGAAATCTCCTACAGAAATATCAGATTATGTGAAATTTCTTTCAGTTTCATAGAATTCAAGATGGATTCTGGAAAATGAATATTTGAGTCATGGTTAGCCTTTATACTAATAAAGCAGTACAGTATAAGGTCATTTTAAAATAAGCTCCCGGGGAGGGTAATAAAGGAGTTCATTGGCAGAGCACGTGCTTAGCATGCATGAGGTCTGTGTTCAATCCCTAGTACCTCCATTTAAACAAAAAACAAACCTTAAAATAAACTCCCAAGAAATTACCGTGCAATATAAAAGCATACCCTTCTTGCAAAATCTAATTTTAATGCAAATAGATTAATAATGTAGTAATGTAATAATTTTGAAAATCAAATGTTTGTTTAGGTCCTATGTAAATAATACCACTGTGCTGCTAAAACATCTCTGACATCCTAGCAGATATGGTAAAGGCTGCTTCTCACACAGTAGCCTTTTGAGCAATCAGACATAGTCATCAACACACTGGGGAAGTGCTCTCTTGACCAGACTGGGTGGCTTGCTTATCATTGGACATTCTCCTGTCTCTCCATTTTCCAAACCCTAGAGAATTTGCTAGGGTGATTTTGTCCTCCTGGGATGCTGGTCCTCTCATTTCGACTTGTCAGAGCCCATCCAACTATTAACGAACTTCTGATTTTCTCCTTGGAAGTAATCGCCCTCTTTTCTCGATTCCCACAGTGCTTTGAATCTGTTTTACATCCTTAAGGAGCAGCATCAGAATCGAGAGTTGGGAGGGGTTGGCAAACGATCTCATCCAGTCTCCTGGTTTTGTAGATGGAAGCTCTCCAAGAGATCTGGGTGGTGGGGTGGGGGTCAGACCCAGGGGACACTAGACCTGAACTTGAGTTTCCTTCCTGCCTCGCTGCCCTGTGATCCTTCCACAGGGAGCCTTTTACCTTCTGCAGCACATTGTGGTGATTTGTCCCTATGCCTTGTTGAAAAGACTATTTGTAGATTTATTTTTCATTTAAAAATTAACATTTTTTTCATTATATAGTCAGATTCAGAAAACTTACCCTCTTAAGTTCTGCTTGCAAATCTTATTCTATTTATAAAATTAGCAAATGCTAATTACTCAGAGGCACTTTGAAGGCTATTCAAGTAGTATAATGTTAACTGATACACAAATTTAATTGACATAGTCAATTTCATATTTAAGTACTTCAATTTTCTAGTTGACTATCCTCCCCGATTACTTAAATATTATGAATCTAAAAATTAAATATATAAATATAGCAAATCTAAAATTCTCTTAAATGTTCTAATATTACTTATAAATTTAGCAGGCTTCCCACTTAAAAATCACATTTAAATCAATTACCTAACTGAACATTTAAAATTGTAATTATAAACCTGATAGTGTCTCAATAGGCAAAATTTTCTCAAACGTAATACAAAATACCAAATAGTCAGATGCCTTCTCACAAATACCCCAGTTCTATGGTTCTAGGGAAGAGGCAAATAGTAAACAACATACATTAATAAAAGATGTAGCATACTAGATGTTGGTAAATGCTAAGGAAAACAATAAATTGATAAAACAGGGATGTCTGAAAGGGGTGGCAGGTGGAGTGGCATTTGCAGATGATTCTGCATCTCTCTGGGACTGAGAGCTGTACAGAGGCTTTATCGGTTAACCGAGCTTACTTTCCAAAGAGAAGGGTGGCTTTCTGAGTACACTTGAGATTGCACAAGGACTAGAGATTTGGGTTGGGACATTGCCAGCATTCCCACTGGTGACCCCAGTGGATGCTCTGAACTTATCATTGCTGTGTCCACAACTCTGTGACTTCTAAAGGGAAACCCGCAGCCCCCACATTACTTGATTAGGTTTTGTATTTCTTTGCCTCTTGCAAAATATAAACATACTTTCCACCCAACTCTAAAGACCTTGAATGCACCTCTGAATTCCTTCATTTCCTTCAGACCACTCAACCCTAACAGACAGGTCTGACTGAATTCCAGGCATCCTTCATGGTTCTGTCCTGCAGTTTGGACACAGCTTCCCCAGTCACTTTCCTGATCAACTTTAGCTCTCCAGACGTCAGTGAACTTCAAGAGGAAAAACACCGTGCCTTAGCTCTGCTGTGTTCCTCATTTACCATGTATTCTAGAGAACGTGGTGCGTTACTCAAGTAGACCCTCAGAAAGTGTTGTTTAAGGCAGTCAGTATAGTGCTACCCAAAGACAGGCTGTCCCACTCAGCCTCTTGGTTGCAAGCAACTGCTCAGAGACTGGACTCCCCTAAATGTGAGTAGGAATTATAATAAGCCCCACATGCCTCAGAGCACTTTGTTAACTAAGAACCCCTATAGGAATGCTAACTTTCCACAGTATTAGTGGTTGAATGTTTGTTCCTTTTTTTGAATATGGGGATTGCTTTTTTAAAAATATTTTACTAAAGTGTGGTTGATTTATGTTAGTTTCAGGTGTATAGCAAAGTGAGTCAGTTATACATATACATACATACATACATACATATATTTTCAGTTTCTTTTCTATCACGGCTTATTACGAGAAATTTAATATAGTTCCCTGTGCTATACAGTAGGTCCTTGTTGTTGAATGTTTGTTTTAAAAATCACTCAAAGCATTTCCCAAGCAGATCGTCTTTTTCCCTTCCTGTGTAGGCTTTAGGATAACATGAGTTGTACTACTGTCAATGCTGATAATTTTATTGTATCAGTATGTATTTAAGGCATAAGTCCTTTTCTACAGGATAACACTGATGCAGCAGAAAGATCTTTCATTTCTTTCTTTTCACTTTGTGGTACTAACTTCTTTTTTCTATTTCTTCAATTTACTGAGTTACTCTGAATGCCAGCAATCTTTTGGTGGATGGAAATGCTGAGACGGCAGCTCTTGTTTGAAGTGAGTCTTTCCTGCTTTCATGCATGTTAGCTCTGTTTGAGCATTCTAAGAAAAAAATCGGAAATGGTTTCTAAGAAGGCTGTGTTGCTCTGGGAAGCAGCATCTTACAGGCAACCTGGTTAAGGGAGAGTGTGGGAAAGCCATTTCAACAAGGAAAGTCACTTTCTACCTGGAATCTGAGTGCACCGGAATCTGTCACCATGCAGAGCTCTGATACCATCCTTGACACTACCTTCTCATTACCTCAAATCCGTAGCTGTGGTTTTGCTGTTCGTCTGTCGGTGCTTTATCATGTGAGTAATTGTTCTGAGGTAGAATCACTGGACGTCTCAGTTTCCCTGTCTTTTCACAACTGCTGTGCCATCTCTGTCTTTTTTTTGTGTAATTATTATTTCATCTTATATGATGTTGTAAGGCATGTTGACTCTGCCTGTTATGGAGTGAAGGTGGAAGGGAGGGAAGGAAGGAAAAGAAAGGCAAGCTTGTATTATTACATTTTCAAAGACAGAAATTGAGTCTTTTCCCAGAGTTACCTACCACCTGCTATGATTAATTGGACTGTTAGTGCCAAGCATGGTTTATAACTTTTGTTAAATGGAGCAAAATTTCACTTGAACTTTGTAGGTCCTGAAATTACTGACAAATTAGAATTTGAAAATTAAATGTGGTACATAATTTTGAAATAAATAAATCAATGTGGCATATGTATATATGTGTATGTGTGTGTGTGTATGTGTGTGTATATATATATATATTCAGCTTTTCTTTATCAGAGAACACAAAGGAGAGTGTTAATTACCCTATTCTGTTGAGTTCAACTTGTAATTGAACCCGTGAAGTGGGACTATTTAGCATCTGTATAAAACATTGTTTCCTGGTTTGTCTAATGATACATTCAGGTATCAAAAATGTTTTCTATTTACTTGCTCAAAGTTCTTTTAAGTAAAGAAACAGAATCACACAGCTTCCTGCTCTGGGGGCCCACAGAATGGCAGCCAAATGACTTGCTATTTCTGTGGCCCTTTATACTTGCTGAATGCTATTCAGTACGCTTAATTGTGGGTATTCACAGTGCTTTCTGCTGGTGCGAAGGAGGCTGGCATTGCCCTTGTATAGATTACAAAACTAGAACCAGAAGAGGGGAAAAAAATGATGGCTTAAAGTAATCTTTGAAGTTGCGATCAAGCCTACTTTTTTTTTTTAAAGATTTGAAAAGTCAAGAATCTGATGGCAGTGAACCAGGTAATGAATATGATGTCAAATTAATTAATTAATACCCATAGTGGTTAATTTGTAGCAGTTAAGTAGCAAACCTGATAATACATAATCTAAATAATGAGCCTAAGTAACAGTGCCAAGAGGAAAATTCAGAAAGACTGAGAGGTCGTAATATAAGATACCTCTTCAGGAAGATTTAGGAATAACCAAGAGAACTACGTAACA